TGAACAAAAGTGAAGAGTATCAAATGCATGCGAATCTATATTGCCTCACCGGTAGATTTTAGTTAGTAATTTCTGTTTTATGTTTACAGATTAATACATATTTAGCTATATTCAGGTACAGTTGTACAGGGAAATTGTTTTAAATGTGAATTTTAATAACGTGAAATAGAGGCTTGAGAGAAATAAAAGTGAATGTAGACTGCAGCTTTTGTACTATGAACAAACAGCATGCAGAAATATTTGTAAGTTTTTTATTTAGTTTATAAGCCAACTTCTGCTTGTGGAATTTATTCCGTAACAATCTTGTAATTAAAGTTGTCTATTAAAAAGACTAACATATATACAATTTTTTTTTCTTTTCCCATGCTTTGCTTTTTATTTATATTTTCTCCAACATTCTTACAGATAAGTTGGTAGCTAAACGAACACACACACATTTATGAATGTACTGTACATACATGTCATACCTAATAGCCAGAACTGCACTACTAAACCTAATAAAACGGAGGTTTGTTTATCTTTGCGTATCTCTGCATAAAGTCGGATTTTAGTGAACATTCTGTATTGATAATGTGAATTATTAATTATAGTTTCACCAATGTTATTTTGACTTGCTCTGTATTATGCCTATGTATATCTATGTTGGGCATAGTTCTTGAATAATGGGCATATTTAGGTTAAGCCAGGCTGCTAAATTAGTTTTAGCTCAAATGTTTATCATGCATTTTATAATTAATATGTATGGAAATTCAAATTGCTAGGCAACTATGGGTATTTGGTACTACTGTACTGTACATATACATATTTATGTACTGTAAATTTATATACAAAGAATTGGTGAAGGAAGAGTGCATTCCTTCATTTATTCTTTCTTTCAGTGAATTGTCCAGATGCATTTCTATCAAGTTTTTCCACTTCCCCAATACTTGCATATATTTTTTATTTCCATTCCTGTTTGTACAACACTTTGACCATGCCTCTATTGAGAGCCCTGCTCTCTCTTCCTTGGTGACCTTATATTGCATGACTGACCTACAGGCGTGTCTCTGTGCACGTCTATCATGTCTCCTAGTATTGTGCCTGGCTTACCCCCACATCGTAGCCTGGTGGATAGCGCGCAGGATTCGTAATTCTGTGCCGCGGGTTCGATTCCCGCACGAGGCAGAAACAAATGGGTAAAAGTTTCTTTCACCCTGAATGCCCCTGTTACCTAGCAGTAAATAGGTACCTGGGAGTTAGTCAGCTGGCTTCCTGGGGGTGGAGGCCTGGTCGAGGACCGGGCCGCGGGGACACTAAAGCCCCGAAATCATCTCAAGATAACCTCAAGATAACATTGAAAATCCTAATTGTGAAATTGTAAAACCCGAACCTGTATCGTAAGAGCTGGGATTGGCAGGGCCTTGACAAACCCCCTTAGTAGCAAACTTTTTCCCCATTATATTGTCCCTCGATCTTTTTTCCTGTCTCACATTTCCTCTTGTGTTGTTTAGATTAATCAGTCTGAAAACCTTCGACATCCTTCGCCTGTATTCACGGCACTTGGCGTCGACCTGTCCCTTGACCCCTTCTACAGCTAGGCTTATTTTATTTGATGCTGCCATCATGTAAAAGTTTACTTGTCGGCAGCATCAAGTAAAATTGTTCATTCTCTACCTGTGTGCAGAATTTTTTGTCAAAAAGTATTTGGAAGAATTGAGCCAGAGAACTTTGTTGTGGCATTCTCACTTGGCTCAGTAGATGTTGTGGCATACTTAACTATATGGCTCAGTAGAGGTATCTTGGTGAGCTAATTGGTAGTTGTATATGTAGAAAAATACCAAGATAAAAGTCAACTTTTATTGCCTATAATATTTAATTATAGAAAGGTACTCCATGGCACTAATGATGACTATCAACTAGCCCCAACTTGCAATCTTGTACTTTGGATCCAGTAAAGCACTCAGAATGGTTCTTTTCACATGCCCTCAAAACCACTTTCTAGTTTTCTCCATGCAGTTTTGCTAGTACCACATAGGCTTTCGTTAATCATAAGCTTAGTCCAACTGAATGCTGCCAAAGTTGCTATATTGTCTGAAAACTAGGGTTTAACAGTTATTCTCCCGACTACAGGATGATGGAAATGATGACAAAACAAATAATGACACTGATGCAAGTAATGATGGAGAAGCTGTTGGGGTGAGTGGTGTTGGATTGGTTGGAGCAGTAACTAATATGATTGGAACGGCTGTACGACACTTGAGTGGTGACGACTTGTCGGATGCTGCCCTTGAAGTTGTGCCAAGACGACAAGATGATGATGCGGAAAGATGCTTTGAAACGGCTCTCAGTCATCAGTTTATATAGCATATCCTATCTGGTAGTAACTAGCAAGAGACTGGTCAATTTGTAAGCATATGCTATATATGCAGTATATATATAAAATATACACATTCACATACACAGTATACACGTTTTTTGCTGTTTGTCATGAAAGACATAGATAAACAGGTGCCCCAAGAATGACTAGTAATTGTTGATTGGAATTATTATTGTAAAATTATTCTTTATCATCATAATAGAGTGAAAGCTAATATCTTTAGTGGTAGTAGGTGGTGGTAGTCATTAGATAGGATAACATGTTAATAAATCTTAGACATGGTTGGAAATTGAGTGCAGTAAATGTTTAGGATAGAATGTGTTTTACCCTCTTATTAATTTCTACTGTTTTTTATTATTATTAGTAGTAGTTATATTTGTTTATATTTGATAAAGCCGAAGCTCAAATTATGATTGTCTTGAAATTTTTTAGTTAATATTTTGTGAGTAAGTGAATGTTTCTAAATATCACCATTTAGATATACAGTATTATGTAAGGATAATTGTCTTTCATTATTTTCAATATATTTTGGCAGTGTATAAATACAGTAGTGTTTGTAAATAATTCAGTTGTATTTTTTGCTCAGAAGAGGAACAAACTATGCACAGAGGAAGAATGTAATCATAATGTTTCATTGTAGTTGCCATTCGCACGTGGGGCAGAACCGAGGGTTGTGGTCGATACCAACGCTCAGAGCCGTACTGCGGGTTGTGGTCAATATTAACACTCAGGGCAGTACTGAGGGTTGTGGTCGATGCTGACACTTGGAGCATTACTGAAGATTGTGGTTGATTCTAAGCATAAAGCAAACATAAAATCAGCCAGGAAAATGATACGGTAGATTATGAGAACCTTCAAATCCAGGGATTCCACCACAAAACTCTTGCTATTCAAATCACTTGTGCTTTCCCACACTGAGAATTGGTACTTGCACTTAGTACTTGCAATTCCCTTTTAAAGCAGGAGAGATTTCTGAAATACAGTAGAGGGAATACTGAAAATATATATGGCACATAGACATGATAAACTACTTAAATTATTGGGTCTGTCTCAAAGCTCTGAAAATGTTCTCTCTAGAAAGATGTGGGAGGTATCACATAATATTTACAGAGACAATACTGGAAGGCCAGGTCCAAATTTTGCACAGTAAAATAACATACTGGTGTGAGCAATATGGCGGTAAATGCAAAAGATCCGGTGAAGAGTAGAGGTGATATAGGCACAATCAAAGAACACTGTGAGCATCAGAGGTCCACTTCTGTTGAATATCCTCCCAACAAATGTAAGAAATATTGCCAAAGCTAAAGTGGACATGTTCAAGAAACAATTAGTCAAGTTCCTTCAAGAAGTGCTGGATTAAGTAGGTTGTAGCGAGTATGTGGGGCTATGGGACACTCCAAGCAACAGCCTTTTCAACCACGTTATCTCGACTCAAACCTGGCCAAAGCTGGGTCTGGGGAGCAAAAGAACGAAGAGAACCTACTCCAGGTATACTCTTGAGTAATACTGAGGGTGGTTATTGATACTGATCAAATTAGAGTACTTAAATTGTATGAACTTCATACCAGTGAAGATCTAAAGCAAAGTATTGATCTTTTTAAATGGGAGAATCTCATTATTTTATATACTTTACTAATTACCCTGCATTTGCTTAATTTTCTAATTGCAAAATTGTATTTTGTGGCTAGAATAATAGAAATAGGGAGATTAATGAAATTAGACTGGAGACTAATGAAGTGTGCAATAAAAATATGTTAATTGCTGTCATATTTGATCACTGCTTTGTTAGGAATGGTATTTATTCTCTTTGCAACAGAGAAAGGAAAAATTTGTTTTCAGTTGATAAACATGTAATTTATTTTTGTGTGGCTTATCCAAAGGCTTGATAAGACTATTGATGGCTAACATTTTTAACGTAAAATGAGAGTACAGTATGCTTAACTTATATTCGGATAATTGTAACGTCGTTTGTTCATTTCATATTAAATGAGAGCATGGTTTTTTTAAGAGCAATTTACATATGGTATTAGGAATGATACAGGGACCCTTCACAAGCTGCCGGCTTCTTATCCCTAATATAGTCCCTAGAAATAAGGGTAAATATGAGTGGATATTCTGGAACAGAATTACCCGGTGTTTAGTTATTGAAGAGTTGCCCATACCCTGTATGGTGCTTCACAACTGTGCTTTGATGCTTCATGCCTGCCTTAAAAATGATCATATTTTACATAATCGCATAGTTAAGGATGTAATGAATGGTGCCAGAGAACGTGAGCTCTTCGTGATTCTGTGCTGTAGTTACTACTGTATTTTATGTATATTATATATAAAAATTAAAAAAAAAGAAAAAAAAGACGGGGGGGGGGGGGGGAAGATGTACACATGTAGTAGTTTATTTCCTTGCCCTATACTGGAGAAATTTCAATATTGAAGACTAACCACACACCAGAAGATGAGGAGACCGAAACGACGTTTCGGTCCGTCCTGAACCATTATCAAGTCAATTATGATAATCGACTTGATAATGTTCCAAGACGGACCGAAACGTCGTCATCTCCTTATCTTGTGGTGTGTGGTTTAGTGTTTATATCTTCAGCCCAGTTATTGTGACTTATCGTCTGCAAATTCAATATTGCTTATAGCTTAATTCCAGGTTTCTTAGAATCGGTGCATTCACCAGTTAAGGCATATTCAACTGATAATATTGAGTAGTTCCTTTTGTATAGCATTCTGTTTTTTTGTTAATAGGAAGAATGACATTTAAATTTTGTTTATACTGTGTCTATTAAGTATGAGTGACAATTGTAGTTAGGGAATGAATGAAATATATATTTTTATTAAATAATATGCTGAATTTTTAGCATTTTTATATGGAGACTTGTGAAAGTTATTAAGCATGAGGTAGTTGTGTTTGGATAATCTTGTAACTATATTATACGGTACAGTATGGTATATGTATGTGCAAGAATACATTTGCATGGTTATAATTTGTATTTTAAGTAGATTTCTTAATTCATTTCTCTATGACTAGTCACTTATATAAAGTATGTCAGTATGAAATAGCATTTCTCAGGAGTTCTCAGAGCTCTTAACACTGTTACCACCACACCTTTTGTAAACAGTGGTATACGGTTGGAACAAGTTAGGTAAGAAGGTGGTGGAGGCCAAAACCGTCGGTAATTTCAAAGCGTTATATGACAAAGTGCTGGGAAGACGGGACACTACGAGCGTAGGTCTCATCCTGTAACTACACTTAGGTACAGTAATTACACTTGTGCAATTACAATCACTTGGGTAATTACCTTAACCAATCAAACCTGGCATCTCAGACCCAGCTTTGCCTATTGGAGGATGGGACCAGAATCTTGACTTGCTCTGTGAGACTTAAGGATCAGATATTGAGTCTAAACTGAAAAAAACACCACAAAGGATAGACAAATTAAAAAAAAAATTAGATACCCTGAAGGTAAATGAGACATTATTATTGCTTTAGGATGATAATTTGTCTTTCTCTAACCATAATGTGTCAAGCTCCTACCTGATTGTGGCCCAGGCCACCTCATTCATGAGCTAACTGAGCAGGACCTTCTCATCCCAGTAGGAGAGCAGGGATGAGGAGCTACTCATTACCCACCAGAAAACTGAATTTTATTACATTCAATGCTTGACTTTTGGACGAGCTTCCTCCATAGCTCGATGAGCTAGCTTGCACTTGCACCTCGGCAGAGGAAGCCGACTCTCCCACATAGGACATGGGTGATCCATGGGAGAAGCCAAGGGACAGCTTGAAACAGCGAGAAGTGAACACACAGATGGACTGCCATAAGTCTTGAGAATGGAGAAGAACTGGGAACAAAATCCTGCCATCAGGTGGTGGACAGGCACATTACAGGGTATTTACCCCATGGCAATGATTGTTTGCCTTACCTTGTGCATTAGATTGAGCCAGTTTGGTCCTGGCTTCTGATAGGAATGATCGAGTCCCAGATGTTAGGTTTGATTGGCTAAGGCTTGGCAATACTGTACTGGCACTAAAGCTTAGGAAGCTATAGGGGGCCTACCAGAATACATTTAAAGGTACATTGGGTTTGAGAGATTACATAATTGTAATTATGTAAAAAATTGATGTTTTTACATTCTTGCAAAGCCACTAACTCGCATAGCATTTTGGGCAGTTCCATTAAAATCAATGCTTGATTTAATTATAGATGGTGCTAATTTTTTTCCTTGTATTTCATTCTTTCGAAAAAATATTCTGTGCCTATATCCAGCATATCACCCCCTGCATTAATGGCAGCATATTTTTCAGCATTTAAGTAATATATAAAATCAGACATATACTGTACAGTACCACCTCCAAAATCCGAACTATGTAATTCTGAACCCAATCTGGATTTGTGAATAATTATTTTAGCAAATAATAAAATGCAAATATTTAAATGATGGTTTTTGTATATAATAAATGACAACAATTAAAATGTTTACCTTAATGTACCTTGACCTCTGCATATTCTTATGTCTTATTTGTGTGTGTCAAATTTCATTGATTGTGCTCTATGTGAGATACTGAATTTGTGTTTCCCTGTATTTTTCTGTACATGACAATGGCGTGCAAAGTAAATCATATGATTTGCAGAAACTATTGATGTTACTGTATTGAATACCTGTACTGGAACCTTTTCAATGAAGGTCCTGCATTCTGCTCGGTAACCCATTTATGAACTATTTTGTAATATGTATTTGTAATTTCTTTTGTTATAATGTATATATTTGAAAATATTCTGCAAGATAAATTTATAAGCTGTTAGAAGACCTGTTAGAATTCCTTTGGAGGTATTTATATTCAAGATGATTGTTTGTTTACAAAGATCTTGGAATCATAAATTTAAGGATTATTTTAAAATCTTTAAAACTAAGTTGAGCAAACATTTTTTTTTTATCAAGTATAGGTACACACAGCAGTGTGCTGCTGTCTTATTCTTTAAGAAGTACAGTATTAGAGAGTACAGATCAAAAGCTGGCTATGAGTTTATCTAATATCCCCATCTCACAGGATGGTTAGTCATACATGGAATCAATTGAAAACATGAGATGTGATTCTAGTCTACTAGCCTGCACTAGCAAACTCTGGGCAAGTACAAGAATATTTTGCAATATTCGTGATTGCATGAAGTAGTTGTGAAGTACATTATTTCATACTGTTTGGTTTGAAGTCATTGTTAGAGTGTGTCCTAGCTCATGCCCACATAATTTACAATTGGAACAATCACTGCTGGAGGATTCATTACCTGCAGTCACCTGCCATATCCTAAGGGAGGCTATCATTCACCATCTCACAGTGAACAATCTTGTAAAATCAAGGCAATAAGGGTGCATTCAAAGTAGATCCTGGCTTACAAACTTGCTCACATTTTTGGAAACGATTACCAGCTATCTAGACAAAGGACTTGCGGTTGATGTAGCTTACTTGGACTCTGCTAAAGCTTTTGACAAGGTACCACATAAAAGACTAATAAGGGAAACTATAGGCCCATGGAATAAATGGTAGAATACTGGAATGAATAAATCAATGGTTAAAACAAAGGATCATGCTAAATAGGAAGGAATATGACTGAAGAAATGTGGTGAGTTGGATACCGCAAGGATCCATTTTGGGGCCAGCCCTCTTTTTAAAATATACCTGTACATCGGTGAAGTAGACGAGAATATTACAAATGATATAATCAAATTTGCAGATGCCAGTAAGATTCATGGTAAGGTGGGAAGTGAAAATTATACTGATGCCCTACAGAGAGAGAGATCTACATGAACTCTTAAAAATAGTCAGAAGACTGGCAAATGTTTTTTAATATCGATAAATGCAAGACCTTGCATGTGGGGCATAACAATCCACGTCATAACTATGACGTGGATTGTCCAGGGACGAGTGTGGTAGCCCCGAGTATGTAAACCCCGAATGTGGTAGCCCTGAGTGTGGTAGTCTTGAGTGTGGTAACCCCGAGAGTGGTAACCCCGAGTATGTAAACCCCGAATGCGGTAACCCCGAGTGAGGAAGCCACAAGTATGGCCGCCATGGATGAAGTAACTCCTAGTGTACTTACTGACACTTGCTGCCTTGATAAGCATGAGAAAGACTCAGGTGTCAGATGTTGTGTGAATTTCACTCTCTAAATTTTATCTCAATATGTTCATTTAACCACTATATTCCCATTTTTCGATGAACTTCGTCATTATCACAAAACTTAAATGTATTTACTAAACTGAAACTTTAGGCACAGTGATTATTATTCACCCATAGTTATAAACCCATGGAACCGCCTACCCGCCGAAGCCGTAAATGCCAAAACTGCTGAGCTTTAAAACCCAACTTGAAAAAAAATCAACAGGATAAATGGAGAGGGGAACCTTTGACAAGCCATCGGCTTCCTGTCCTTATCGAGGCCGCTAGAGTGTTAAGTGACCCTCAGGTAAATTATAATGATAATAATGTTTAGCTTCTTTCCCATTCCACCATGAAGGTCAAGCAAGGGAGGCCAGGTGGCAGTTGTCTCAGAGTGAAGGTATATGGATGAGGATGTGGCTACGGGACCTTCACTGGAGTACCGTAACGTCCAGCAGTCATCATGCTCCTTCTCCTTTGTGTCGTCGTGGGCCTCGCCACCTCCATCCACGGTAAGTCTAGCCGATTTGACAAAACAGAAATATATGTCTTACTGAATGCTAAATCTTCTGTTAAAATTATAAGCCGCAACACCGAAATTTGTCTACTTTTTCCTGTATATGAAATTAATATTGGAGACAAGCGCGGTGTACGGCCCGTCCTCCGAAGGTTTCCCAACGTCATTGTGTTGTTATAGATTCAGCTACTCGGAACAAGTTCCAAGTAGTACGAGCTATGGTGAGCCCGTAACTTACCTGGCACAGGAGCGGGGCAAGTAGCACAGGCTATGGTGAGCCCGTAGTGGATTTACCTGGCACAAGAATTATTCTTTATTCTTTATGCTCAATTAGTATTAAGTTCTAGATATTAATGTTTTTCTTGCCCGAAACGCATTGCGTAATAGTGGCTTTAGGCAGTGTATGTACTAGCTCTATCTATATATCAATCCATTAATGTAACATCACTTGTATGTATATACCTTACCTGAATAAACATCTGAATCTAAACATAATCTCACTCCACAAATTCTCTTGTGTCAACTACATTTACAAAACCCTGTTCTTAAATGCAAATCCTTGTCTGAAACTCTTCCTGGACAGATGTAATAGGACCCATTATCACCACACCAGAAATAAATATCTCTTTGATATCCCCAGAGTTAAACTTAATCTGTGTAAGCACTCTATGCAAATAAAGGGACCCAGTTTATGGAACTCACTCCCTACTAAATTGAAAAGCTGTCCAACTTTTACATCATTCAAAATCAATACTAAAAAGTACCTAATTTCATCTTCATAGTTTTTCACTTTTTGCCTTAAAATTGCACTGTATCAATTGCTACCCAATCTCCCAACCTTTATGTTCCCAATTTGAACATCTTTACCATTGTGATCATTGCTGTTTTCTTATATGTGCTGCCAATCTGTTGTATGGTGTTTATAAATCTTGTTTATCAGTATCTTTTGCTACCCAGTCTCCCAATCTTTATGTACCCAATCTGAACATCTTTACCATTGTGATCATTGCTGTCTTATATGTGCTGTCAATCTGCTGCATGGTGTCTATTAATCTTGTTTAAATTACTAATCAAGCTGTCAATGTAATCAATCAGAGCTTTAATATAACAATGTGCTTTAATATACTTACTTATCTCTCTCATCTCATTTTTCTCTTGTAATGTATCTTTATCATTTATAAATTTTGATTGAAATTACCTACTTAAAATTATCTGCTAGATTAAGGACCTGCCCGAAACGCTGCGCGTACTAGTGGCTTTACAAGAATGTAATTACTGTACTATCCAATGTATTCTCACAAACCCAATGTACCTTCTTGTATATATATAAATAAATAAATAAATAAATAAATAAGAACGGTGTCCCAACGTCAAGAAAACGGTCAATTTAAAGTGGTCTCTCCTAACCTACTAGAGGACTCAAAACAGAAAACGGGACAGTACGTCACTTTCAATTTTAATCTTAACTCGATATTCCATCTATCCCTTTGAGATGTATTTCTCTCTTGTCTCAATAAACATACTTGAACTTGAACTTGAATAAAAAACATCTTTTGTTATCAAAATGAGGCAACATTTCGTCCAGTTATGTAGATTTCTCTCTGCCTTGCCGAACTTTCCTCGCTGTGCTGTACCGTGGGTTCATGTAGGCAGTTTCGTGCTTCTTGTTTCAGTACAATGTTGATTATTATTGTAAACCAAAAGAACTATATGGCCCATAATTCCCGGCTCCAGAAACATGTACTGATGGCGGGAAAAGCGTATTATGGTGGGAGGTGCTTCGTTATCTCTGGTATCAGTTCACCTCCAGACGGCGACCAGCCTTTGATTCCCACCGATCACTTTGTTTACAACTACGTGATGAGAAATGGTACACTTGGATTGATTGATTGATGAAGATTAAGCCACCCAAGAGGTGGCACGGGCATGAATAGCCCGTGAACACTTGATGTATATGATAATCAGGATATATAATCCTCAGGCCAGGAGGGGAACCCAGACGACTATATCCATACGCTTGGCGCCACCATCTGGGGATTCTGGGGCCAGACGGAATCTTGTGCCAATGGATCCTATGCCTACGGTTTTGAAATAAAAGTAAGGATGTTCATTTATAAATCCCTTTTTATTTCATTAATGTTATTTAGTAAAGTTATTATTGCTAGTTATGTATATGATAGTTCATTTACAGTAATCAATATGAAGTGTGAGACACAGTTTGGGAATTTTGGGGTTTTAAATACGTAGTAATAATCGAGTATGGTCAAATCCACAAGGGCCGTGACGAGGATTCGAACCTGCGTCCGGGAGCATCCCAGACACTGCCTTAATCGACTGAGCTACGACAGGGTAAAAGGCCCTTGTGGATTTGTTCATTTGATGCATCACGTTAGTGTGATCTCTGTGTGTAATCGAGTATGGTGCTTGGGACAGGTGGAGGATGAGCACGGCCTTCTCGAGGATGATACAAGTGTTAACGCTATCCAGCTGTTCTGCCGTACTCCTGAGGGCGTCAACACCGGTGAGGTCACCTCCTCCACCATGAGCTTCGGCTCCTGGACCGGCGCCCAACTCTGTGGAGCCAATTTCCTCAATGGCTACGATCTAAAGGTAACTCATTTAGACAGTTTGCTCCCGGTCGTTTAAACCTCAGCAATACTAGTGATTGTAATAATAAAAGTTTTTCATGTTCTTTTAAGGCAACTTAATGCACAATTACAGTAAGTCAGTAAATGAAAGTAAACATTCTACCTCTTAAAAATAGATAGCTACGTTTGTTCAAGTTTCTATTGATTATCGGAAAGTTTTTGCACATAAATTTCATATTCAGGTGATGAGTCACGATAACGTGGCTAAAGTATGTTGACCAGACCACACACTAGAAGGTGAAGGGACGACGACGTTTCGGTCCGTTCTGGACCATTCTCAAGTCGATTGTGAGTCGAAACGTCGTCGTCCCTTCACCTTCTAGTGTGTGGTCTGGTCAGATTGTATTTTGTTTCTCATGTTGTGTCTTCAATCACATACACGATTTCTCTTTGTGTTGTAGAGCCACGCTGACGAGGGAGCCATCGGGGACAACACGGCCGCCAACGCACTGCGCATGTACTGCATAGACGAGTCGGAGTACCTGGAAGCCCCAGGCAACAAGTGGGGCCACTGGCTGGGGCCCTCCTTCTGCCGGAGTGGGATGGCTGTGTGTGGCATTATGACTCGGGTGCAGGAGGACCAGGGAGGCCTCAGTGATGACACTGCCCTCAATGACGTCAGGTTCCTCTGCTGTGACCTCCCTGCTTGATACTACATGCATCACATCTCTTATAAGTTTGAATTAAAGAATACCCTATGTATTATTTGTTTTAATATGTTTTACAATAACATTATTACCAAAGCACATAATATAATTATATTTATGTACAACAAAACAGAATTCTTTGCAGACGAGGAGTTACAATAACGTGGCTGAAATATGTTGACCAAACCACACACTAGAAAGGGACGACGACTTTTCGGTCCGTCCATTCACAATCGACTTGAGAATGGTCCAGGACGGACCGAAACGTCGTCGTCCCTTCACATTCTAGTGTGTGGTCTGGTCAACAGAATTCTATGTCGAAAGTAGGAAGCCAGACGCTTAGAGTTAGCCTCACACAGCTTTCCACAGTGATACTCAGGGGACATGGGAATGTCATAGGCCAGTTGAGGTAAGCCACAATGCTACTGTTTAATAGATATCGGCATCTTTAGCAACCAATAAGCGTGTGGAGAGTGGAGTTGTAAGAGAGAATGGAAAGAGATATGTGAGAAGGAGGAGATTATGAGAGAGGGGAGGATACCCTGGCGCAACTGGGTATCTTGAGTATATATATAATATACCTAGTGAGTATACCTCATCTAGTGAGTATATATAATAATCCATGCTAAGGCTACACAGGCTACCAGCCAACTCTAGTAATACAAAAGGAGACTATCGACGGAATTTTCATACGGTACAATAACAAAATGATATTTTCTCAAATATAAAGGAATATTATTTCATATAATGGGTTCATACATAGACTTTAGTTGAGTTAGGTGAACTTACAACATGGGCTGTAAGTGTATGAGGCACGTTTCGATGCATAGGTTCGAACACAGGTTCAGAAAGGTACAAAGTATGGACAATCAGACAATGTAGTCTACATTGTGTTCACTCACAAGGTTCACGACGGTGGAGGCGAGGGAAGGCGTCAATATTATTGTCGGAGGCAGCAACCTTGTACAACAAATATTCATGTAGTTTGTTTTATTTTATAGCTTAATGGTTGCTGTTTACTTTCGTACTTGTGCCATCGTGTAATTGCTCCGCATCTTGATTAGTTTTTATTTTGAGAGTTGACGCTTACTTCTCGCGCAGTTTAGCACATATGCGGACTACAAGCGTATCGACACTTCGCTCGTTGACGTGTTTGAACATCTGGTAGGAGGGTCTCATAGGTATTCAAATTCTACGGGAGAAGCGTGTTGTGGTGAAGTTCCGGACGGATTCTATCTACGAAGACTTCCTAGGCCGTTGTGATGGTAAGTACTTTACTTTGCTTGATGGGGCGGAAAGGTTGACTATTCAGAATCTCAGCATAGCGAGGTATGTGGCGGTGGAGCAAGATAACACAACGAAGGGTTTATTTACCGGCAACTGCTCTGTGTGGATTTGCGAGAACGGGTTGCATTGTGCGGAGTGTTCCTTATCTTCAGTTTCGGCGATGAGGAGAACACCCTTTACTGCTTGTTCCAGCCCACCCCGGTCATGTTTTCGGCGTGGTTTTCCTGTTCACCTTGCCGCTGTCTATCTGGTGGATGGCGCCGACCGGGTAAACATCTTCAATGAGTTTGACCTTCCCCTCGCTGGGGGCTTCACATGCTGGGACGTGAATGATGACTTATTTACGTGGGCCTCGGGTGGAATCACCATTACGGGCTCACCATAGCCCGTGCTACATAGACACTTCGTTCTGAGTAGCTAAATCTGAAACAACAACAACAATGGAATCACCCAGTTGGCGGCGCGCCCTGTGGAGGGTGGTGATGACTGGACGGCCCCGAACGTGGTGGGTGTTGGTGCAGGTGCTACATGTATCCGGTGTCGTTTTTGCAGAGGTGCATCCAGTGCCGATTGTGGAAGATCGTGTGATGGACGGTCTGGACGTTATGGAGCCACGAGAGATGGTCGAATGTGGCTGGGGGTCCTGCGCCTGCTGTGATTGGTGGTGCGGATGTCTCCTCCCTCTTCCCGGGTGGTGGCGTCGATTGCCCCTTCGGAAGTGCCAGATCTTTTCGACGCCTGCAGGACAGGCGTCGAAATCTCTTCTAGGCTCGCCGCTGCCCACGCAAAAGCAAAGGATGGCGAGCATGTTGAAATCCCATGTGGCTGTCTTATGTTTTGTGTATGTTAGCTCTTGATTATTATCTTCTGTTTATACTTGTACTTTTATTACTAAAGAGAAAAGTTCATATGTTGATTATATTCTCTCTAGCTATGCAATATTTGGACCTTTTTGCATCTAAAGTATTTTGCTTCAGCTCACCTTGAAAATATTGATCAAAATCTCATTAATTCAGCAGCCGTTCCCTTTGATTTTGAATGAAAAGCGCTACACAACTGATTACGTTCGAACTTTTCTCGTACAGTGCTTCGTTCACTTCTTATGTTCGAAGCTCACCTCTAAACTAAATGGTTCATCCAAGTACTGTAAAAACAAATGCTGTAATCGAAACCACAAACAAAATACCTAATCTAACCTACCCTAGGACCCTAGGACTAATATTTTAGAAAAAATTATGTTTATGATTGCACAGTACAGAAAAAATAATAATCTAATAAGGGGGACAACAGCAGTGTTGGGACGACAGCACGCTGGACGAGCTTAACATCTGGGGCCAGATTCATGAAGCAGCTACTCAAGTACTTACGAATGTGTACATCTTTCCTCAATCTTTGACGGCTTTGGTTACATTTATTAAACAGTTTACAAGCATGAAAATATGCCAATCAACTGTTGTTATTGTTATAAACAGCCTCCTGGTGCTTCGGAGCTCATAACTGATTAATAATTGTAAACAAAGCCGCCAAAAATTGAGAAAAGATGTACAGGTTCCTAAGTGCTTGCGTAAATACTTTGTGAATCTGGCCCCAGGACGGGTTTGTTCCTTGCTCGAGCTTAGTCGGTCGTATCTCGTCCCTCAGCTTGTGTGTGAGTGACTGTCGGCGGGCGTGACTGTGGTCCTGTGGTCTGTCTGTCCTACGGGGACCAGGTCCACGCCTCGCTTGAGGCACCACCGTCGGCTCTCTCCCTCACGTCAATGTTACCACTGCCATAATAACCACCTCTGCCGTAACCACCATCGTGGCTGTGCCCATAACCTGAAAGACAATGCAAGTTTTGTTCAAATTATTTATAAGAGTTATCCCTAGTACACGTTCTTTATTACTCCAACCTCACTTCCGTAGGTTGATAAGCGCTAAACCCAACACCAAATCATCCCAGCTGGATGATAATAGATACTGTTGACCAGACCACACACTAGAAAGTGAAGGAACGACGACGTTTCGGTCCGTCCATTCTCAAGTCGATTCTCAACTTGACAATGGAGAATGAGAATGGTCCAGGACGGAGCGAAACGTCGTTGTCGTCCCTTCACTTTCTCGTGTGTGGTCTGGTCAACATACTTCAGCCACGTTATTGTGACTCATCGCCTGCATAATAGATACTTTCTCGATAATGATTATAGCGAGGAGGCATAAATATTACGAAGACTCCAGAACGATGTATTAAATGACTATGTAGCCTCGTGACTATGAAGCCGTCGAGTAACTCTGAAACCGCCAGTAATGATATTTTGTGATTCGTGTAAGAAAGAAAGTGTATACTAACCAACAGACCTATGCGGGCAGGGTTTAGTGATGTACTGAGGCTTCGGCACAATCGTTTCGGTGATGTAGGCGGGTACTTGTAGTGTTGTGGTGACGTAACTTGTCTAATTTGACCAGGTGCAGAATAAATAATAATCAGAGTCAGAATAAGACCAGTCACATTCAGAACAAGATGCATAAAGATGATTAATAAAACCAAAACAAACAATTTGGGATATGAATGCAAGTATATATTATCGAAACTTAAAAGTTATTCATATTTTACCGCCCAGAAGAGGCGTTCGAAGAACATGCTTCTTCTGTACACACAGAAATCACAATAGCGTGATGCGTCAAATGGACAAATCCACAAGGACCCTCGTCACGGCCCTTGTGGATTTGTTCATGCTTCTTCTGTACATAGAACTGACATGTATGGATGTCTATTACCTGGGTGTGGTGGATCGTCTCCTTGACGGTCTGGTAGTGGGTGGGGCACACCTGAAGAAATATAACTTTCCGTAAGAGGCTTCTGGCATTACGGGCTATTTATGCCCGTGCCACCTAGAAGGTGGCACGGGCATGAATAGCCCGATTAAGCCACCTAGATTAAGGTGGCATGATTAAGCCACCTGAAAGGTGGCTAGATCTTTATTAATCATCAGCTTCTAGCTAGACTTTCTGAACATCTTATATATTCTGAACTCTTTGAAACATAACTATTGCTGTGTTAAGCTCTCTTAACATGCTGTTTAAAAGCCAGTTATTTCCATATCACTTAATTAGACCATTATTGGATGAAGCATATAATGGATTATGGTTTATATATACGCTGGGCAATTTCCAAAGCTGTATGATTAAGAATGCAAATATGGTTGAGTGATAGAACCCATGCAGTTGCCTGGGTCACTCGGTACCCCTACTCAAATCTCTTAATATGTTAGATATTAAGTCACTGCACATTCTCTCATGTGTATTATACATATTTAAAACGCTAAACTATAATGCCAATCCTGATCTTAAAAGCTTCATAGAAGGTTGTAACAGAACCCATGAGCACCACACCAGAAATAAATACAGTTTTGATATTCCTAGAGTACGTCTTAATCAAACTAAAAATGCTCTGCAAATCAAGGGGCCCAGAATGTGGAATGACCTTCCCAACCATGTTAAAGACTGTACCTCTCTCAACCAGTTTAAGATAAAAACTAAACACTACCTAATAAATTCCCTGTAATCTACCTCACTCCTCTATTGTCAACCCATGTCTGTTATTTTCTTTTTTTTTTTCTTTTTTTTAATCAACACTGTTTGTCAACCTATTGTATTTGTGCTGCTTTTTCAGTCATGTTCCCCCTTTTTTTTTATCTTTATTTGTATTTGTTCTCAACATCTTTTATTCTTTATGCTCAATTAGTATTAAGTTCTAGATATTAATGTTTTTTCTTGCCCGAAACGCATTGCGTAATAGTGGCTTTAGGCATTGTATGTACTAGCTCTATCTATATATCAATCCTTTAATGTAACATCACTTGTATGTATATACCTTACCTGAATAAACATCTGAATCTGAATCTGAATCTGAATCTATCTATTGCACTAACACACAACAACAGCCGTAATTTAAACATTACTTCATGACTATACAACTTTATGTGTGAGGACGCACACACACTCCCACACACACACACACACACACAGTTTCACATATAGATATGATGGAGCCCAATAGGCTCAGGAATCTGTACACCAGTTGCTTGGCAGTTGAGAGGCAGGACCAAAAGGCCAGAGCTCAACCCTCGTCAGTACAACTAGGAGAACACACACACACACACACCTGTGGCTGAGCGTAGTCCGGTTGAGGAACCCCATAGCCGGCGCTGGCACCCACCACCAACGCCACCATCGCAGCCATCACCCTGCAGGTCCTGTGAGGAATATTGCAACAATGCTTTCTCTTTCGTTTCTTGAATGGTATGAAGAACATTTACAAAGTCAAAATGCAGATTACTTAACGTAGACATGCGATTTCAAATAAAATAACATAATAACTTTCATCCTCCCGGCAAACGAGAGAAAAAGTTAGTGCAAAGTGCTCTCGGCGTTTCGGCCGATCGAGCGGACACACTGAAAAGTGTATACTCTTTTCACTGTCCTGACCTTAATTTTTGATGTACACATTTCGTTTTTGTACCAATGTGTTTGCAATAGAATGTTCTAGAAGAACATATGTATAAAATGTCACACAAGGATGCGTTAGATCGGCACCATATAAAGAAACTTCGTTGATTACACTTCTCGTGTCAACAATACAATAGTTTTACCATGAAGATACAAGACAATTCCGTTCTCCCAAATAGGCTATGTGACTGTTAGAGAAAACGTAAATTTCATGGTAAACATCTTCATACTATCCCCAACTCGATCGGATAAGAATTGAATATTATAGAACTATTTGTTCGTCAGACATAAAAATATGTCGCGCGCTCACGTTCAAGAGAAAAATAGTTGTCCCGTTTTTGTGTCCGAATAGGAGGAAAGTGTTAAATTAACTTCGACTAACAACCGATGTTTAACCTACCGTAGCAAGTGCGTTCGCAAGCCCGTCTATAAAAAAAAATCTAGGTGAGTAACCCCCGCAAACAATCGATTTGGGGCCAGATTCACGAAGCAGTTACGCCAGTACTTACGAACAAGTACATCTTTCCTCAATCTTTGATGGCTTTGGTTACATTTATTAAACAGTTTTCAAGCATGAAAACTTCCCAATCATCTGTTGTTATTGTTATAAACAGCCTCCTGGTGCTTCGGGGCTCATTAACTGTTTAATAATTGTAAATAAAACCGCCAAAGATTGAGAAAAGACGGACGGGTTCGTAAGTGCTTGCGTAACTGCTTCGTGAATCTGACCCCTGGCGTACTGCTTAGGGCTCCCTAGCTATTGGCCTCTGGAGCCCTAAGTATGTGACTCCAAAGGCCAATAGACTCTAGAATCCTAATAATATATATAGGGCCCACCTATCGACGAAGTAGTCTGCGACCTCAGCACACAGTATACATTCACTCCAAAACAAAACAAAAATCTACCACTTACGGGATATTCATGCCTGTGCCACCTCTTGGGTGGCTTAATCTTCATCAATCAATCAATCGTTTCTATGTAACCCGGCAAAAATATAGATGAACATTAATAAAAGTTCCGTAGTCACGTGTTCACATTCCCTTCGACAAGCCGCCGGCTTCTTGTCTTTGTCCAGGCTACTAGTGTTAGTGGCCCTCAGGTAAATCAGGTATTTATATACCGTGCTCAATACCCCGCTCCCCCCCCTATAGTGAGCCCCCTTTCTATAGGGAGCTCACTATAGCCCGTGCTACATGGAAATTTTGTCCCGAGTAGCTGAATCTAAAACAATAACAATAACAACTACACCCAGCCACTTTGACTGGACTGTAGAGCGACGGTCTTGCTTCCTGCAGGTCGGCGTTCAATCCCCAACCGACCACAAGTGGTAGGTTACCATTCCTTTCCCCTCGTCCCATCCCAAATCCTAATCCTGATCCCTTCCAAGTGCTATAAAGTTGTAATGGCTTGGCGCTTTGTCTACAAAAAATACAAATAAAAATATCTCGCCCCGGTGACTGAACTGACGTACCTGATTATCTTGTTCAGTCTCCGCTAAAAATCTTCGCTGGCTGTTGTTTACTGTTGCCGTCAGTGCCTCCTGCAAGGTTGTGGAGGCTTATACACCAAATCCTTATATATATGCCATATAGACTCATGGAGATATCACATTGCCACAGTCACGAACAAATGGGAATTGATTGGAAAACGGGAAAAAAATGCGCACCAAGCCATGGCTACCTTATGTGTTGCACGAATATTTAAATATAATGCTTAAAATAAAAATATGATGGGAAATATAATGTACATAAATTTAATATAAATGAGGAAGCTGGAATCCAATGCTGGCTGAGGAATTACCCGGTAATGAGTCTCGTCAGGACACCATGACTTGGGCTTCAGAAATTGTGCAGGCGAGCGTGCCGTAGGGAAGTCCAGGCAGGAGGAATAACACTACATGAACCTAAGGAAACACACGCGAGATTACACACCAGTCTCTCTCGGGATTTCCAAGAGGACAAGCAAATATGCTCTGGATTCTTTTCTTTTTCACAATAAGCCTCGGTGATGTTCGTGAGCGCTGGGGTGAGATCAACCATGTTGTCCGTCTCCAAGGTTAAGGAGAACACCGTACGTGCTTCCCAACAATTTTTCACGTTCCAAGACCACTCTTGCTGGTCTCTGGCAATGTTGATATTCGCCAAGACACAAACACTGCGACGAAAGGAAGGAACTACAAGGAGAAAGCGCCAAGCTATCACGACTGTGTAGCACTTGGAAAGGATCAGGATAAGAATTTGGGATGGGGTGGGGGGAAGGAATGGTGCCCAAGTACTTGGGTAGTCGGGGATTGAACTCCCCGACCCTCACACACACATGGTCGCGCATGAAGCGAGATCGTCGCTCTACCGTCCACACAAGACGTTCCAAGTGATTGAACACTGCGAGCTTAACCAAGAATAATGTAATGTTCATCAGGTACACAGATTCCTAGGTTTAGTGCTATGTAGCCATACTATTGTAGCAATTTCACCAGAAATTCTGTAGCACCTACTTTCACGTCCGCAGGAAATACTATCTTAGCACACTGCTAATTACTTAGACTTATCTATTTAACTATTTGCAATTTACTTGAATTTACCTGAGAATAAATAGCACCACTAATACTAGTGGCCTTGATGAGAACAGGAAGCCGGCGGCTTGCCAAAGGTCCCCATTTGCCCTAATGATCTTTTCCAGCTGTATTTTAAAACCCAGCAGAGTTTTGACATTTATGGCTTCGGCGGGTAGGTGGTTCCATGGGTTGCATAGGAAACTAGGAGGATGAAATTAGGTACTTTTGGGGTTTACTTTTGATTAAGGCATAGGTGATTTTTTTTTTAATTCATGAGGGAGCGAGTTCCATAGATTGGGTCCTTTTATTTACATGGAGTGTTTGCACTGATTTAGTTTGACTGGACCAAAGAGCCAAAGCTCAACCCCCGCAAGCACAATTAGGTGAGTACTGGGGATATCAAAGAAAGATTTATTTCTGGTGTGGTGCTCATTGACTTAAAACCGGTCTTATGTAACACTGTAATTAAATTAAATACATTTTTGCTGTAAAAGTATATTCAATATGTCTATTTATAGTCAGACCCTAAGTAATATTTGCTTATAAATAAATAAAAAAATATATTAGCAAAGGGAACTCAAATATAAGTGTGGTAGAGGAGCGTATACTAAGCGACCGTGACCTGTCAACAATAACAAAACACTGGGCAGAGTGGCCTTGTGCACCCTTACATTATCTCTTGCAGGAAGAGCAGGAGGAGAAAACCTTCATGCAACCGGTGCACGCACTATAAAGAAGAGCCAGTGCAGTCATCTGGAGGATGAATCCTTTATTATGCAACTTGCTGGTACACCATAGAGAGGTGTGACCTTGGTGAGAGCATGATAAGCACCCCTGGAGCATGCGTATGACAGCACATAATCATCTGATAAGAATAATATTATCTCCCATGTGCATCAGCTGAGTGTCGTTTGCAGTGATTGGGGTGCAAAATATCCTCTTGAATCATCACTGTGTTGAGTTAATACTGGTACGTGTTGTTAATATTGACCTAAAGGCACTCACTACATAGGCTGTTCATTTATTTGTTTGTATGAGCCAGTTAGTGGATACTACGTCTCTGACAGTTACCTAATAGTAATCATGGGAAAGTGTTGCATTGTAATTAAACTTTCCAGATGATGGAATTCTTTGTCAAATCTGGTCTATAAGTTATTTGGGTAAAGATTTTACCTTCACTGAATGAAGATTATAGGAAATGGATCATTCAACATGAATCAATTTTTTTTAGTTTAGTTCATTATGCATGCCATACGTCTTTCATGTGAGTGGTATAGTGGAAATGGTTACAGAATGTTGTTTATCACTTTAGCATTGATTCTAAGTGCTCTGCTACAATAAAAAAATAATGTTTATTACATCTTGATATATTCAGATAATGTACATTGTATTGTAATATTAAGTTCTCCTATTAGAGCAACAGTTCATATTAGAACAGTTCATTAGCAAAAATAACTGAAAAACTGTATCACTTAAGACACTGTACAAAGTTTTTTTCATAATCAATACTATTATTTTAAAGATCCAAGACATATAATAATTAGCAAATATAAAGTGAGTAATATAAGTTTCATATTTTCAGACAGAAGCTAGATATAGCAATCAAACATGGGACTGCAGGACATTGTGTTGGTTCTAGAGACGTATAGAGGCCGGGAGAAAAGTATGCGTACACTACAGTATGGCTTGCTGTTTATTACCCCATTAGCAAATGAGAACGTCAGGTATGCTTAAAAGTACACCCATAGATTTAGAACTTTATATAGCTTGACCAAAGGCAAAGTGTACTGCTTTTATTTGCTCTTTTTTTAATTGTAATTGGATTATATTTCTACTTGAATTTTTCATATTTTGTTCATGCTTTACTTGTATGATAATATATTGGTTTCCAGTAGGAATAGCTTTTGGTTTAATGTTTATTTCAGTATTTTTTAATTACAATTTTTTCCTTGGTTTCCTTTCAGTATTTCAAGAATGTCTCATTTTATTGACTAGCAACATTGTATTGTATTGACTTACTAGTATTGACTAGTAAGTGCTTAAAGTTTTGCCCAAAAATATTGATGTCATTAAAACTGTGCATTATAACCATATGGCAACTTTTTTTCTGCGCAGCTTTGCTCTTGTAGGGAGCCGGTCGGCCGAGCGGACAGCACACTGGACTTGTGATCCTGTGGTCCTGGGTTCGATCCCAGGCGCCGGCGAGAAACAATGGGCAGAGTTTCTTTCACCCTATGCCCCTGTTACCTAGCAGTAAAATAGGTACCTGGGTGTTAGTCAGCTGTCACGGGCTGCTTCCTGGGGGTGGAGGCCTGGTCGAGGACCGGGCCGCGGGGACACTAAAGCCCCAAAATCATCTCAAGATAACCTCAAGATTGTCTTAGGGTTAGATTGCTGGTTCTTGGTTGTTCATCAGTTATTTGCTACAAAAATTACTTCAAGCACCTACCGTATTGGACAAAAACTAGACCCCAAAAATATCTGATATATACTCTTCAAATATACTATAACTAGAAGGGTTACCCAGCATTGCCCAGATCTCTGTGTTTCCCCTCTATTTCTATCTCTACCTAATTATCTCTACCTTTACTTCTCTCTAGCTATCTCTTCAGCATTCCCTCCCTTCCCTCCTGCATTCCCCACTCAAGAAGCACTAAAACAAATGTATGAGTCAGATGCTTTGCTTTTCCTTCCTCTTCCTTTCTCCTTTCTTTTCAGTAACAATTCCACATTAATCATACACTATATTTCACACTTGACTTCATGGAATTGGCCTAGGGGTGTTTAGGTTGATCTCTGATCCCCAAGCTCCAGTTTAGGTTGATCTCTGATCCCAAAGTTCCTGTTTAGGTTGATCTCTGATCCCCAAGTTCCCATTTAGGTTGATCTCTGATCCCCAAGCTCCAGTTTAGGTTGATCTCTGATCCCCAAGTTCCCATTTAGGTTGATCTCTGATCCCCAAGCTCCAGTTACGGTTGATCTCTGATCCCCAAGTTCACATTTAGGTTGATCTTTGATCCCCAAGATACCATTTAGGTTGATCTCTGATCCCCATGTTTTCCCTTGCCTTATAGAGAGAGTGCCTGATCCTGGCTCCTGCATGAATCTTGGAGGCCTGGTGAGCTTCTTGATGTTTTGCTTTATCAGAACACTAATTGTTAGGAGCCAATGATGGCTCACCAAGAGTGTTTCATGTGATAGTTATTTCACACGGGATGTCAAGTCAACTTTCTTAGTGTCTGGAGACAGGGGGACTCAACCTAAAGGGTGTGGATACCCTCCTTACTAGTCTGTGATTTAAACATTCATAGAATTGATTTTGTTTGTACTTTGAGATCTGCCTGGCATAACAATCAGGAACATCTCCTTCAATCAGCTGAGATCAAAATATATTTTTTCTGCAACTCTAAAAAGCATCGACTTCTTTGTTGGAGAACCTTTTGTAACTACTGTAGTTTAGACTTTTTTGCTGTAATGCTCCAGGTCAATTTTACATGCACTGAAATCTGTTATTGAATGAAATACTGTATTACAGCGATGATAATAATTTTTCTTTTCAGGGCTGCTCTTCAGACTCTCAGTTCCCAGTTAGGTACAACTAGAGTCATCCTCAGATTGTTTGATGACCTTCCTATGCTGCAGTATTCCCTGTCTTGTGTCAAGGAGAATAAGGTTTGCACTAATGTTTCTTGTCATACTCGTATAGGCCAATAGGCCTTCTGCAGTTACCTTAATTCTTATGTTCTTACTCAAATAATTCATTTACACATCCTATGCAAAGGAAAATTCTGCTATAAATTTGATTGTAATGAATGTTTGCATCTGTATGTGTAAATCATATACAGATATAATATTTGCATATAAGTAGCAGACTGAACAGCCTTGATAATGATTGCCCATGGACCTTTACCACTGACTTTCTTGGGACCCATGTCATGATGTATAATAAGAACTTCTTACATTCATAAACCAAAAAAGCAGAAAAACAATTAAATTCTTCTCAAAGAATTGAAGTGCGGTCGTCACTAGGCGGGATACACTGGTAAACTGAGGGCGAGGCAAACCTCGAATACCGAGTCAGATTTTACAAGGAAATTGATCTCGTATACTGAATAATTAGTAAAGAGGGGCATTCGTCAGCTGAGGTTGCACTGTACTGTACAGTACTATTGAAGTAATATTTCAGCAAATATTTTTTTTGCATAAATTCTAATGGATTCAACATAATACATCAGAGTTGCGAAATCAATAATTTTTTTGCATGGTTAAGGGGTTTAATTAAATACTGTATGCAATTTTTATTTATTGTTGTGATGTTGCTAGATGATGATGATAATAATTCCAGATATTAAATATTCTGTAAATTTATTTTTGGTTTTAGGATAAAGATGCTTTGGTGAGATGCTTGGAGGTGGTCGGCACTGTAGCTGACCAGTTGTACTTTCCTGTCGAACATCTGGCTTGGGCGCGTGACATGAAGATGCTCAAAGGAAGTTCGGCATCACTTTGGCATGCATCTCTACTCCTGTGGGGATTTTCCCTCATTTTAACAATATCAAGGTTAATGCTTAACCATACAGGTTTAAGAGAATATGGCTGAATGGAAAGTAGAGGTATAGAGTGGTGTTATTATTCAATGGTTAGGTGTGTGTGTGGTGGAGGTATGTTGGTTTGATGTGGGTGGTGTGATGTGAAAAGTGGTTTTGTAGTTGGCTTGTGTTGTGACAGTTATGTGAAGTGGGTTGTGCCCACAGAAAGTATACTGTGGGCACAACCACCACCAACCACCTGATGGTGGTTGGGTGTGGGTGGGATATTTAAATGAATATTGGTGTAAGCTGACTTTCAATAGATGAGAATATCGTGTAGGTAGGTGGTTGGTAATGTGAAGAAGCAGGTGGCAGGGTTTGTATGGGTGTGATGGTTACATGACTGTGTGGGTACATGACGGTGTGGTGGGTACATGATGGTGTAATGGTTACACGATGGTGAGGTGATATGGTCCTAGGGAAGCCCTAGTTTTGCCAGTTTTCAGTGAATTTTATTTATAGTTTATACAAATGAAAGTTTGAAGACTCATTACTTGTGACTAATTTATTTTACTTGTAACCTTTGGTCGATTACCTAAGTGTAGTTATAGGACGAGAGCTACGCTCATGGCGTCCTGTGTCTTCCCAGTACTCTTTGTCATATGACACTTTCATATGTTTGACAGTTTCATACTGACAGTTTTGGCATCTACCACTGTTTGCAGTGTTTGCTTATATGTTGATGCAGGAGTGTCGTACTGTGTATGTCTTATAAAGTACTGTAAATAAAATAAGTGAAATTTTCATCCAGATATTATGTATTTGATTTCAGGTCGCTGAGACTCATTTTTTTAATGAAGAATCGGGCAAAGCGAGCTACTGTGGAAGAAAAGTAAGAATGATTTTTTTTTATGCTATTAAATTTCAATCCATTTTGAATAAAGTCAATGGTCTGTTATTATTTGATATCTTTTGATATACTTAAGTGATTAAGACTTGCTATATATTTTCCGTGCACACTATTATTATATCAATATAATTACCACATTTTCCAGTTTCATGGAGCAAGAAGGCATTATTTTGGAGAAAAACTCAGGCATTGAAAATAATGAAACTCTGTTTTCTGGAGGGGGGAGGGGGGAGGCCAGTGGCTCTCTGAGCTGAACTTTGTTACCACAAAGTCTAACACCTCGGGCCTCTATGACATATCTGTCCCTTACTGGGCAACCTGTCTTTCTACAAAGAACATCGATTTTCACTGGTATGCATTACATAAGGCGAAAAATTGTCGTACTAGAAAATGGAAGCAGCTCGCAAAAGTGACATACTGTCCCATTTTCTTCTTTGGATCCTCTGGCTTAGTCTGATAGGTAAGAGAGGACACTTTGAATTGACCATTTTCTTGACGGGAAATGTTAGGACAGGCTGTACTGGGAGTCAGGACCAGAACCAGGCTCATTCTATAAGGACCAGGAGCAAGGAATCAGAGATGACACAACTGAGGAGAAACCCCACCAGAAAGCATAGACACAATAAAATAAATGGTTATTTAAAGGAAATCAGACACAACATGGTAAACAAGGCAAACTATTATTGCAATGGGTAAATTCCTGACTATGATGTGTCTGACTGGCAGTAGGTAGCAGCCCAAGTTACCTGAAGTCCCGGCCAGCCTTTTTCCTCACTCTGGAGCCACCTGTGCAAGACTCCTTAACCCCACAGGGACGAAGGAAATAGAGCAAAGATGCGAAGCCACTGGAGGCCCACCAGAAAATGTCATTTAATTACATTCAATGCCTGATTCATGGGAGGGGACTCTTCATTGGCTCCCCTGAGTTTTCTGAGCTCCCCTGAGCTCAGCTTTTCCAAATAACGAAAGACTAACTGAGCTGACCTGTGGGAGAAGGACAGCAGGGATGGAGAGCATGGGGCACCAAATAACCACACACACACATTAGTGCGATGAGACTGAAGGACATAAGCTGCCTTTTATTTTCTCCCCTCCTTAGATACGGCTATACCCATGTGTAGTACAAACGTATAAAAGGACCACGAACCAAAGCATTATGGGAGAATCTGTACATACTACATTAATTATTATTTTAGAAGTGCAATAGCTGAAAATATATAATACAGCAGGAATTATATCACAAAATGTAATTTTATACTTTTATTTCCTCAGACATAAAATAGATGTAATGTATAGAGCAGAGCTGTTGACAGTTATCATGCAAGCAGCAGACCTTCTCAATGCCCTCAACTGGATGCCACGCAGACCATGGACTAAACCTTTCCCTGTGTGGCAGGTAAGGTCACGGTACACCTGGAGGCCTTGGCATCTGCCCTTTCCTCTGTGGCAGGTAAGATGATTACCTAGGTGTCATATCTCTCACAGTTTATAGTAAAGGAAGAACAAGTATAGTAAACGTAACGTTAATTCAGTGTTCCCAGGATCTTGCACCTGTCATGAATTAGCAGACCATGAGTTACATTTGCTTATAACATACATAAATATAGATGATGCTTTTAACACGTTTCAGGTCAAAAGCTTCCTGAGCTTTTGGAGGAGGCCTGGTCAGGGACCGGGCCGGAGGGGCGTTGAGCCCAGAAATCAATGCAAGGTAACCAGCTTGAGCACTGGTATAGCCAACCCTTGGGAAAATGCACCAGGTTTCTGAGACACACCCGGATCTACCAAGAGCCAGAATCTGAATTTGTTTACTCCATGATACAGTGAGACCCCGGGGGGTCAGAAATGTAACCAAAACCAAGAAAACCAACCAGTAAGGTTAGGAACAACAAAACAAGTGACTGTTTGAAGGAAAATAGTAACTTTGATGTAAACTAGGCAAATGATTTTTGCCATAAGGAAAGTACCAAGACTGTGATGTGCCTAGCTGCCAGTAGATGGCAGTCAGAAGACCTTACTTTTAAAGAACACAATAGAGTAGCTGTCACAATTGCAAGAAAAATGACAGGTTGGATAACAAGAATCTTTCAAACAAAAGATGCCACACCAATGAAGATACTTTTAAGACACTTGTGCTCTCTAGAGTGGAATATTGTTACACACTAACAGCCCCATTCAAAGCAAGAGAAATTGTTGACCTGGAGAGCACACAAAGATCTTTTGTTGCTAGAATCTACTCAAAACCTCTAAATTATTGAGACTGCTTAAAAATATTAAATCTGTACTCCCTAGAGTGCATGCATGAGAAATTCATAATTATTTACACTTGGAAAATACTAGGACTTGTTCAAAACCTGCTCACAGAAATAACAACAGGAGGCCAGAAGGCATAGCAAGGTGTGCAAAATAGCCCCATTGAAAAGCACAGGTGCAATAGGCATGCTGAGAGAATTTGATCACCAAATTCAACATCAAACAAGTGAGTGGGTAGTGACCTCACTACCCTCGGCCTCCCTCTCTACTCTCACCCTTCCTCAGATTCAGCAGATTTATTCTGTTGTTTTAATGACATTTCTGTAAGCCATTATATTATTATTTTAGCAGTCTAGTAGCTGCCCAGCTACCTGTCATAATCTTCCTGCCTGGCACTCCCACCCTGCCTGTTTCACCCAGACCTGTCCGCCCACCAGCCAGCAATGAATCCAGCCAACCTGTCTGTCCATTTGCCTACCCACCCCACCAGCCAACCATGAAATCATCCAGTCAGTTACCCTCCCAATTATGACTTAAAAAGTTGTTCCAACATTTGAATACCGCTCCCCTCCCCCTTCTCGGCATTTAACGGATACTGTATCTGGATTTAATGACCATGGTGTATCCCCACGTAAGTTGTTAAATCAAGTGTATACTGAATGTGTTTGTTTCTGCTCATCTGTATTTTTTTTTACAGGTTGGATTCCTTGGCCTGGTATCTTCACTAATTGGATTCAGCAAGTTTCTCTCTGTTCAAAGTCTGTAATCAAGGGAGTAAGGCTTGGTTTTAGTTTCTGAACAGAAGAAAGTAGGGTAAGGGGAGGGAGGGAATTAGTTTTCTAGTATACACAACAATGAAAGTGTCCACTTTTATAGTTTTACACAAGCGCTTATTATTAGTCAGTTCATTATCATATCTGAATTGTGACTAATAATTTTACTGCAGTAAAATAAAAATAAAAACAATTTAAATGTTGATCTGCATTATCCCAAAATTTAAGTATGACTGATATGGGGCTTCAGATATATTTTATATGGAAGTAATTATCAAAAGAAAGCTTGGAAGACTGTATGTCACAAAATAGTCAAAAGGTCCTAAATATTCAATATGTCAATACAAGAGCAAAAGACATAAGACAAACGATGTCAAAGGTACTGGATTTTCCATAGAGTTTGTTGAGAAAAGTGACTGAAAAGGGCATTAAGAAAACTGGAATAAAGGTCACCCAAAATGAACTTCTCGGGTGCATGACTAAGGGAAGACTGTGCAGTTTAGTCAATAAGGAGCAGGTCTGTTCCATTAAGAAATTAAGGCTACACACATGAATAATGAGTTATTCATGTGTAGCCAATATGCAACCTAAGTAGATCAAATCCAAACCCCTTCAACACTGTATTGATAGCATAATGGCCACATTAAGAGGTCCCATTTAACAGATGCAGCTTGTAATTTAAAATACCTAACCATCTACCACTCCAATTACCTAATCGTTTCTCTCTCCAACAGTTGTGGATTGCTTTCTCGACAAGGGTAAAAATCTGAGTAAGGAATTCATTTCTGGGAGATGGGAATGACTCAATGGATATAACCCAAGAATAGGTCCTGTGGAACACCCATGCACCTTCCCCATCTCTCCAGAACCACAAGCAAGTATTTAACCAGGCCAGTTCAATGTAATTATGGTATAATAAGCTGGAAACTAAGCCTCTGCAGGTCAGCCTCTGGTGTCTCTGTAGACCTGTGCAACCTTAGTTACAGCTTGTCTAATTGTAGAGCTAATGGATGGTTTTACAGCCCCCTATTGAAAGTTTATAAGACTAGGTTAACACTATAGTAGGGCTGTCCTACCGAGGGAGTAGAGACTTCGTACTGTCAAGTCTTACCAAGAGATAACCAAGAGTGCTTACCACCCATAATGTCAAGCTTCAGTGGTATTGCTAAATGCAAGATACGAGGAAGGTGTTGTATGGAGAAGAGGGAGAGGGTAGGTCAGTCTAGTGTGGAACTAGATTCTGGGGTCTATGAACACCTCTAAACTATACTTGATCATCTGGGTTGTGGGTTCAGGATAGCATCATCATCTAAACAGCCTTGCTAAAGACTCAACTGCGAGAACATTGTGCCCAGCAGTACAAATCATTATTTTGGCACTATTTTTCAACATTTAACACTGCTATTTCTCCCTTCACAAGGGTCTGTCTTACAAGCTAGCCAGTCCTCACCAAGGTCACCTACCTACGTGCCAGAAAAACCCACCTACAAACTTATAAAGTCCCACCATGTATACTCTGCCTGCATGCCCAAACACACTCACACTCCCTCACTAATTCTTGCTGTTTTAATGTACTTACATTACTGTACTGGATTGAATTATGGATTGTATGTATCCCATCTTGCACAAACCCCCTTGTCCATGTATAAAAAGTCTGCCCACAATCATGCAACCAACTCATAAATTTTAATATAAAGGTTGTCACCTTAAGCATAATCCAGAATGGGACCACCTTTTTTTAAACAATTGATGGAGATAACATGACTTACTACATGTAACCTGGCATTGGATTATTTTGTGGATGAACATTATATTCAGGCTGAGAAGTTGGCTAACATATGCTGCAATTGACAGTATTTGAGAAGGTGATAACTTCCTCAATGTTTTGGCATAACTATGTAAATCCCTAAGTTCAAATAATACTCAAAGAGGTCTGTCCATTTTGTGTTTAAGATTATCAAATCTCCATGCAATTTTTGCCTTAATCCTTCATCTACTACTGAGAGACATAAATCTATGTTCAGTATTTATGTATGTAGATTAGATTAGCATTTTAAGAGCGCTACAATCACCTGTGGTTGATTGTTCAATAAATCACTGAACATGCTTAACAAATCTCTAACCCTGTCCATGGAGAACAGAAGAAATTAGCATTTACATTGCTAGCCAATGCTGATTAGCATTGTAAATGAAAGGCCTCATCTGTGATACAGAGAAAAAAAAAACATGAGAATATCCAGAGCTAGACTCAGTTAATTAGTAATCAATAGTGTTTTACACAATAAGTATTAACTTTATGCAAACATATGATGCTACAGTACATTCATATGGACTATGAATGACTTGAAATAAATTTCTATTTTGAGAAAGGTGAAAGGTCAGGTGTATGTTACAAGATGCAGTGGTAGCATGGGTTACCCTATGCCTCTCAAGTGACATTGGCCCGGGTTTGAGCCCCAGGAAAGGAGACGATTGGTAACCAATCCTGAACTGTTCACCCTTCAGTAACTTGGGACTTTTGTTGCAAGCCAATTGGCAGATCGTGTTTCTGAGAAAACTTTAAGGTTATGACCTAAGATGCAAGAGGAAGTGCTCTTAAGACTGCCAATAGAAGTCAGAAGTAGATATCTGTTCCTATATCAGCAGTATTATATACCGCCTGAAATGCTATGCATGCTAGTGGCTGTACAAGAATGTAAGAACTCTTGTATATATATAAATAAAATTAAATAAATAAATTAACCAAAATTTGACTAATACTGATGCTGCAAAAATTTGTTGACATATCATGGCTACACCTCTAGTGAATATTAGAACACACAACACAAAAGTAAAGAATACATAATTAAAGAAACCCAACATTGAATGTAATGAAACATGTCTTTATTGAGGTGCTTTCCCTTGGTGGGTCCCCTGAAGCTATCTCACTGAGATGGCTCCATGGAAACGGGTCTCGTCAGATGCAGAAGTTCTGTTTGGTCTACCAAGAACCAGAGCCAAAACATGGTGCCCCCTCACAGAGGCACAGAAGGTGACAATTTGCCACCACACCAGGAAAGCATCCAGAAAATCAACAAAACTCTACAGACAACTGGAGGGTTAACAAACACCAGAGCTTAAATTCACTGCCTGGCAGCCTGGCTTCGCATGTAGCCATCCTCCTCATCAGTTCTGAAGCCGATGAACAGGGCACTAATATGGTAGGGAGAAAGAGAGTCAGGGAGTCACCAGGGCTCATCCAGAAAGAGGCATTTCATTACATTCAATGCTGGGTTTCTGGGAGACACACAGTGGTTTTCTGAAGCTAACAAGCTTGCAAGCCCCAGCACAACCAACGAAATGCTTCCAGCCAAGGGCCCAAACAGAGGAATCAAAGACTCGTGAATAGCCCTGAGCAAGGCTCTTCACCTCAATGGTCTGGCCCATTCAGGGGTGAACTCCCAAACACACCAGAGAAGAAAGATATCTCCGTCAGTGCAGGGGTAGTGCTAGCAGGCACCCTGGGAAGGAACCCAGAGCATATGCAGCCCAAGGCACAACAAAGCCAAGCCCACACAATGCACCAGATAGAAAACATGCACGTAAAGTGAAAACTAAAATATAGAATAGTACAGTATACAAAGCAAATGACCCCCCCCCCTCCCCTCAGGAACAAGTCCAAGGACAGCCAACACTCACCTTGAAGCAGTGGGGATTGCCACATCTGATAGACCCAGGGCTGTGTCTACCAAGACATCAGCTCCAGAACTGGCGACTACCTGTCGCGTAACTGTAATGCTGGGCTGACTACCTGTGACTGGAAGATGACTACCTGTGGAAGCTGGGCTGTCTGGTGGTGGCATTCGATACTAAAGGTTTTACACGAACTTAGAATATTTCTCTTGTTCCATGTGAATCATTTGCAGAGTTGTCTGACATTTTCGAGGCTTTTGTATTTGTTAACTCTTCAGTTGTCTGTAAAGCTTTTGCTGACTTTCTGAAGGCTTTCCCAGTGTGGTGGGGAATTGTCACTTGCTCCTGTGCCTCTGTGAGGGGGCCAGGTTGTGGCTCTGGTTCTCGGTAGACCAAACAGAATTGCATCTGATGTGACCCACTTGCATGGTGGAATCTCAGCGAGAGAGCTTAAGGAAGTCACTGGGGGTTTCCCCAGAAAAATTATTACTTATTTGTTACTGTAAAGATCAAAATATGTATATCACATGTAAGATATTGAGATTTGATATCCAATAAAATAAGTTTGTATTTAGAGAAACCATGAACAGTGTTTTATGTAATGTAACTAAAGAATCAGCAAAGTGAAATTCTGCACATAAAAATAGTTTTATTTATAAAAGTATACACAATATGGTAGCTGATACAGAATTAATAATGTGGCTCATACATAAACTCTCTTCTTAAAATAAAGGAAATCTAAAAAATAAATGAATGCATATCAGCACAGTACAAAAATAATTGAGCAATATGTGGTTATCTCCAAAACATTATGAAGTCAACACTATGGCAGTGGTGTCCATCTGAGCCCATCTTCATGAACTGTAAAAAACAATTTATTATTCTTCCCATTTTTACTCACTTCTGCAGAGTATATCTGCCTGCAGTTGTCCGATGTCGCTGCATTCTCACACTTGTTCATACCAACTGTCACAGTGTCTGTTGAATAACTAGAAATTTTATTCATAATAACATCGCCTTTGCAATTTTCATCTAGAGGTACTGATGTGTCGCCACTATTGTCTGTGGACACGTTAACCCGGCAAGTTACAAGGCTGGCCCACTCTCTTCCCATGTATTCATATTCTGTCTTTCCTTCTTCTGACTCCTCCTCTTCCGTATGACGCTTGTTCTGATTGTCCTCGTGTGCCGGTCTCGTTTGGAAGAGTGACTGACGTGTAGAAAGCAGCACAAGTTTGTGCTTTTTTATATGGCCAAGAAATACTTTGAATATTTGATTATAGTACTGTTCAAGTTTATACCAAGATTCAACTCTATAAGCCCGATCATACCAATAATAAGCAGAAATACTGTCAATCACAATAAATGCAATGTTGCTTTTGTTTGAAAGAAGTTCATCTATAGATAATAAAGTAATTGCAAATTGTGAACTCTCTGTACACTTCAAATAGAATAATGACTTTAGACAGTTCTTAATCAAATTATCTATCTCAGTCTTAAAACTTGACTTACCAGAATGAAGGAGTTCTTGTATTTTATCCTCATCATCAATTAATCTCTCGTCAAAACTATACCCGCTCTTTTTTCTCTTTATCGCATCCTTAGTCATTTTCAATATTTTCTTGATTCTCCTCTGCATCATATTTTCCAAATGCAAGATGCTGAAGTGCAAATCACTATCCACAAATACAACGCCACCACCGCAGCCCCCGACATTAATTCCTCTCCAGATGCGAGGAAGAAGAACGGAGACAACTAAATGGAGACTCAGTAATGATTTGCCACAATTTCTGTTGCCAGTGATCTCAATAATATCACCTGGTTGTAGTCCTCCTGGAAACAAACAGGGCTCGAGATCATGCAGACTGGGTCGAGTTCCAAGTCGAGCTAAAAGCGCCACACCAGATTCGCTTGCAACAGTTGGTGTTATTCCTGGAAAAAATAATAATAATAATAATACGGTTCTAAGTACACTACAGTAATAAAAGACTCTTCTCTAATAAAATTATTCTGTACTGTATTGGATTTACCATATTTAAATGTGAATAAAAGGATTATATATTGATAAAATCCATTATTAAACTTTTTTACTTAAAATTTTGCTCAACACAAACACTTTATACTGTATAACAAAAGTTATTATCCCCTTAGCTACATAAATGGTTAAAGTGTAAACCATTTTGAGAAGTATACTTTCAACATTCAAAGTGAGGAAATGTGTTTTTGAGAAAAGCTATAAATGTCATCAGTTTCGAGTTGCATAAAGTTTGTTTCATTTATAAATGGGAAATATCTGCTGTATAGAACTGACTTGGTCTATTTGTTTTGAGGGCAAGATTGCACACACAATCACAGCATCAAAACTGTATAAAAATACAGAGATACTGTACAGAGTAAATAATGTACGAAGTTCTAACTGGGTTTTGCACTTGGCCAATTACACATAGTGAGTGGGCAGCCCCAATTGTACCAGTGTTGAAGGCAGATCAGAAATCCTTGAGAATCTGTGCAGACTTCAAGGAACTGAACAGCCACATACACTGTGAGAAGTACCCTTTACCTAAGATAGATGAGTTGTTGTCAGTGGTATGCAAGGGGGCAATTTTTTCTAAGATTGACCTGAAAGATGCTTACTTGCAAATTCCTGTAGAGGAGAGCCAGAAATTGTTAGTGATTAATACCCACAAGGGGTTATTTAAGTATAAAAGACTTCCTTTTGGACTCTCCTCATCTCCAGCAATTTTTCAGAGATTCATGTCCCAGTTGTTAGTAAACATTGAAGGTGTGGCTAGTTTTTTAGATGACATTATTGTATGTGGAGAGAATGAGGAAGTGCATGATGCTAGATTAGAACAAGCTTTGAATCTTTTGCAAAAGCACAATGTGAAGTTTAATAAGGGTAAAACAACGTTGAAGACCAAGGCCATTGAATACCTGGCGTACCCTATTTCGGGTAAGGGCTTTACTCCTCACAAAAATGTAGTGGCAATAGTGGATGCCCCAGCCCCAACATCAGTTGGGGAAGTACAGTCTTTTGTTGGGATGGTTACATATTTTTGTAAGTTTGCGAAGAACTTTTCAACAAAATTAACACCCTTGTATGAATTGTTGAAAAAAGGGGCTAGATTTAAGTGGGCAGCAAGAGAGGAAAATGCCTTCAGGAATATTAAGCAGGAATTGATCAATTCTCCAGTGCTCACTAATTTTACAGGTAGACTCCCGTTAAAACTGGAGGTAGATGTACAATATACAACCCAGTAGGAGTGTGTTGTGTATTATTACAGGAAGTAGATGGTCAGGATAAAGTAGTATATTTTGCTAGCAAGAAATTATCACCTGTGGAACAGAATTATTCTCAGTTAGATAAAGAAGCCTTAGCTTTGGTATATGCTGTAAAAACACTGAAGTATTTTCTGCTGGGGGAGGAAATTTCTTGCTAGAACAGACCATAAACCCCTGCTAGGATTGTTTGGCAGAGATAAGCAGATTCCAGTTAATGCCAATGCTAGAATTCAAAGATGGGCATTACTACTCTAGCAGTTTGAGTATGATTTAGAGTTTAAGCCAGGCAAAGATAATGTAGTAGTTGATGCATTAAATAGATTGCCTGTGACAGAAGAATTAAATTCCAGTATTCCAGTGGAGTATGTTAACCTGGTGGAATCTATGTCTTTTGAGGATATTTCATTCCAGACTATTAGGAAGGCAACTGGTAGAGATCCCAAATTAAATCTGTTGATGAAATATGTCAAATATAGTTGGAATGATAATTTATTATTGTCAGAGTATACTGCAGTAAAGGCTGACCTTAGTATTCACCAGGATGTACTCTTGTATAGGAATAGCGTGGTGGTGCCTGGGGAACTAAGATGTAAGATTTTGGAACAGCTGCATGTAGGCCATAATGGCATAAATGCTATGAAAGCAGAAGCTATAAGTTGGGTTTGGTGGCCAAAAATAGACCAGGATATTGCTGAGGTAACAAAAAATTGTAATATTTGCTTTAAGAATTATCAGAAACCACAGACCCCAGTACTTTCTTGGCCATGCACTGGAAAACCCTGGTCTAGACTTCATATAGATTATGCGGGACCTATGGATAACAAATATTACCTAGTGGTGTTGGATTCATACACAAAATTTCTGGATGTTCATGTGTGTAATTCCACCACATCATCTGTAACTTATGAATTACTAAGGAAAACATTTTGTAATTTTGGATTGCCAGACATGGTTGTCTCAGACAATGCTCCTTATTTTGTTTCTGTGGAAATGGAGGATTTAAAAAAAAAAAAATGGTATTAAACATGTAACACCTGCCCCCTATAATCCTTCTTCAAATGGTCTAGCAGAGAGAGCAGCGAGATCCTTGAAAGAAGGGTTAAAGCGGTTTACGGAAGGTACTATTAATACAAGGCTTTGTAGATTTTTATATAATCAAAGGAAAACTGTTCATTCTACTACAGTACTGGTAAATCTCCTTCTGAATTACTGTTTAATAGGCACTTTAAAGTGCACATGGAAGCAGTAAAGACAGATCCCGATAAAGAGAAATCGGTGACTAGCTTGGCCAGTCAGTTGGCTCAGGGAGAGGAATTGTTGTTTAATGAGGGGGATGCAGTATATGCAAGGAATTTTGGAAGTGGAAAGCCTTGGGTTGAAGGAAAAATTAGGGAAGTCCTGGGCCGCAGGAATTTCACTGTGCAAGTGCAGAGTTTTGGGAACATTAATTGGAAAAGGCATGCAGATCAGCTCATGCCAAGGTTCACAGGGAATCTTGAAGACCCTTCAGATGGGGGGTGGGGCAACTAGTGATATCCATCCTAATAATGAAGGGGTAGCAGCACCTGCAAGAGACCGGGAGGCAGAGCAAGGGGCAGTAGAGGGTAATGGGGGTACAGTTAACCCTATGGACTCTACAGGGAGAGTAATTCAGAAGAATGTTTCCCAGAAGTAACAGGTCAGGACTCCCAGTTGAGGAAATCAGGAAGAGTCATATGACCCCCTAATAGAATTAACCTGTAGGGATAGAGTTTATTTAAAAGGGGAGGAATGTTGGGATTGAGTACTACAGATGTTGGAGGTAGCATTAGCATGTTTGGAGCAGATGCTCTTTTGTTTATGATCTTGATAATAATATTTCATGTACCTGATAATTGTTTTGTTGTTGTCGTTATTGGCTGAGAATAAAACCATGTGGACAAAGATTCTTCCTCTTCAGCCTTCAACCATAACAAATCCTTTCTTGGATTTTCCTTAATTATCAGTCTATACCCAATACTGCTCAATTATATTGTTCAGTCTTGGTGGAGCCTTCCTCTCTGGCATATAATGTGAATATATGTCCTTACCCAGCTTTCTCCAATTGTCTAAGACATTCTATGACTTCCCACTTCTTTGCCAGAAGTGTGAATTTTATGTCTTCTGAACAAGAAATGATTTTTTTCGCATCCAGCCAACATACAGTAATCCCACTGAAATTAAAAGTTCTTGGTAGACAGAGAAGGTATCTGATAGATAGAACTCTGTAGCAGTCTCCGTGGCGCAGTGGTAAGACACGGCGCTTTGCAAGCACCTGGGTTCATATCCTGGTTGTGGAGGATTGACCAGGCACCAATCTTTAACTGTAGCTTCAGTTCACCCTGGAGTGAATGAGTACCTGGTTGTTAAACGGTTTGGCGGGTCGTATTCCAGGGAAAATTAGGATTAAGGACCGGCCCGAAATACTATGCGTGCTAGTGGCTTTACAAGAAAGTAAGAACTCTTGCTGTACATATAAATAAATAAAAAAAAACTGATAGAGAAATTATGTTTATTGTATCCTTGTGCATGGTAGAGGTTGGTTATAGCCTTTCTATATGCGTGCCTTTCTTTCAAAGTCTATTTGCATGCTTTTCTTTCAAAATCTATATGCATGTCTTTCACCCCTGCGCATGCTTCCGTCCTGAGCACCAGTAATTGATCTTCATTGTAGTTTGACTGGCCATGAATTATTTCCACCAGAATTTCCTTATGATACTCACTGCTATGATTTCTTGTAAAATGCATATTACCATTTCATATACAGTATGTATAAAAGGCCCTAAATAACCCTTGGCTTCAGTATGTGGCCATGAACCACAAGTTAATTATACCAATACTATTGTACTGCATTTCATATTTAGAAGAATTTATACTCCAACTGAAAAATACTGTACATTAATCTAGAAAAAAATTTACCACTTCTACTTCCAATAGATGATGGACTTGATGCAATATTTGATTTCCTAGGCGCTGAATAACTCATCATTGTGTGTTCTGATTACCTGCAAAGAAGAAAAATATGTAAACACACCATTATTCTACAGGAAAATATATTTTAAAATCCTGGAAAACCCTTAATATTATTGGTGAAATTCTAGTGTAATTTTCATTTATTTAAAATGCTTAACCAGGTTAGTACAGTATTTCTAAGGGACTTTAAGGGAAGCATGCTTGCCCTTCACACTACTATAGTCTACTGTAAGTTTCATTTACACTATGTGCATTAGTGACTTTGCAAGAATGTACCACCAAATAATATATACATGGAAGATACTGGAGGGCCAGGTAGGAAAGTCAGAATAGAACCAGTGAGGGGTTGAGGTGCTATAGGGACAATCAGAGAGCACTGTCTGAACATCAGGGGTCCACGGCTGTTCAACACCCTCCCAGCAAGCATTAGAAATATTGCCGGAACAAAGTTGGATGTATTCAATAGGCACTAAGACAAGTTCTTGCAAGAAGTGCCAAACCAATCAGGCTGTAGTGGATAAGTGTGCTGCTCCAAGCAACAGCCTGTTGAACCAAGTTATCACAAATAGAGCCTGGCATCAGGCTGGGCTCAGGGAGTAGAAGAATTCCCGAGACACTCTCCATGCATTCACTAGGCATAATCATCAACATATGTACTTTCACAACAATTGTACCATATTTTATATATATATATATATGGGTAATTACCTAAATGTATTTACAGGATGAGAGCTACACTCATAGTGTCCCATCTTCCCAGTACTCTTGGTCATATAAGGCTTTGGAACTACTGATAGTTTTGGTCTCCACCACTATCTCACTCAACTTGTTCCAACCATTTACCACTCTGTAAAAGATCTTTTCTTCTTAAAGATGTAAGATCTTCTTACATCTTTTCTTCATTTGGTTGAATCTATGCCCCCTTGTTCTTGAGGATGCAGTTTTCAAGAATTTCTCTTTAGTCAATTTTTGTTGATTCCTGTTACTATTTTTGTATGTAGTGATCATGTCTCCTCTTTTTCTTCCAGCTTGGCAAATTTAACACCTTTAGCCTCTCCTTGTAACTCTTGTTTTAATGTTCTGGAAGCTAATAAGTATCATGTCTTTGCACTTTTTCCAGTTTGTTGATGTGCTTCTTGAGATATGGGCAGCACCATACAACTGCTGCATATTCCATAAAGTTTTGGTCTCACAGAAGTTGTGAACAATTTCTTTAATATTTCACTGTCTATGTATTTAAAAGGAATTCTAAAGTTAGAATGTATAGCATAGCCACCCCTCACAATATTCTTTATGTGGTCCTCTAGTGACAACTTACTCTCCAGAATCACTCCTATATCTCTTTCTATAACAGAGTTCTTTAATGTCTTTTCACATAATTTGTAGGTTGTGTGTGGCCTATTTTCTCCAATTCCATAATGTGGAATTCTTTCACACTGAATTCCATTTGCCATGTGTTGGTCCATATGCTTATTTTGTCCAAGTCATCTTGAAGAGTATGACAATCATCTAAGTTCCTTATCTTCTCTCAATCAATCAATCAATCAATCAATCAATCACTCACTCACTCACTCACTCTCTCACTCTAACACAGAGGAGTCTTGGCAGACATATGGGAAAAGGCAGACATAGTTCCAAGCTAAAAAATGGTAACAGAAAAGACCAACTTAATTACAGGCCATTATCACTGACAAGCATGGTTGTCAAAACACTAGAAAAATAATTAACACCAAATGGATAATTAACACCAGAGGAGAAATGATATAATAACAGACTCAGTTTGGGTTTTTGAACAGGAAGATCCTGTGTAATAAATCTACTTAGTTTCTATGATAGAGCCACATAGATTTTACAGGAAAGAGATGGTTGGATGATTCTAGTTGTCTGGAGTGTGTGCCTGGAGACACCTACCTTGAGGTTACCTTGAGGTGCTTCTCTACCTTGAGGTGCTTCTCTCCTACTCTACCTAGCACATAGATTCAAATCCACATCACTGCTCCTATGGATTTTCTCATTATAATTATTAATGTTGTTATTAGAGAGCAAACCTTTTGAAGAATGTGTAGAACTTTCTCTCAACTGTATTACCTGAATTTACCCTGAGGGCTACTAACACTATTGGCTTCAATGAAGACATGAAGTCGGCAGATTGTCAAAGGTTCTCCCCCCCCCCCCCCCCGCCTTTTGCCCCAATTATTTTGTCCATCTGGGTTTTAAAATTTAACAAGAGTTTTGGCATTTAGTTAAGAGTTAAGTGCATGGAGACTTAATATGCCATAACTCACAGTGAACCTCAACAGTAATCAACCAAAATTAACCAATTTTCGCCTGCCTATCTACGACCCTTCTGCCAAGCGGTCCCCATACGCCCATCCCTACTATAATTCACCAAGTATCTACCTTTAGAAACACTACCAAGAATCTATCGCCGAAAACATGGCCAAACATAACAAGTGGCAAGGTAGGGGTGCCTCTCGCTCTGGAGGATCCATTACTCCTAGAAATCTGAACCTGCCCGAAACGCTGCGCGTACTAGTGGCTTTACAAGAATGTAAATACTGTACTATCCAATGTATTCTCACAAGCCCAATGTACCTTCTTGTATATAAATAAATAAATAAATAAATAAATAAATGAATGGAACACTGGCAACGCCGCAATCCTCGCCGATGTTGGTAAACACAGCATCCGCTCCCCCTCCTCACTCCGCCCCTTCAACTCACCTCGAATCTCTAGCTGTAGAATTCATTCAATCTATGGCTCCCTGTCTAAACTTCAAACCTTTCAGAAGTAACCCATGGCTTCAGAAACTGCACAACCTTGTGCAGTTTCTGAAGCTATTTCGGCCCTCCAAGCCACAGTCACCCGACAACAACAAACCAGAGACCGCCTCCTTGAATCGTCGACGAACAACAACCATGAAATTCTCAACTTACAAACAGTTGCAAATGATGCAATGGATAAAATACATAAGATTCAGGCCGAGGAAACCCTCTCAGTTCAAAGTGACCTCCTTCAAAAGCTGGAAAAACAGATCAATCTCCTTCAGATTCACCAGGCGGCTTCCGAAGATGACCAAGAGCAACAACAACTTCATGACTCCCTGATAATTAGCTCTACTCATCTACCTGATGAACAACAAGGTGAGAATTGTTGTAACATAGCCCACACCCTAATTGATTCAAAGATCAGAGTCAATGTTGAAATCAAATCAGCTATCAGGATAGATAAAAACAGTCCCCGTATTTACAATTATCATTTGTCAAATTTTTTTTATATATTCATCTTGACAGTCTCTACTGATTTTTTGTTCTCTCCACCAAACTTGTGTATCCTCCAAGGCTATCTAGTGACCTTAATTCTACCTCTAATTGTTTCAATTCTTTTGTTTACTTGCATTTATTGTTGTGTTTTGCCATAATTATTCTCTAATTTTAGCAGACTCAATACTTTGTAAGCTCTTATTGTATTGTTATATTATTATATTGTTGTGTTTTGCCATAATTATTCTCTAATTTTAGCAGACTCAATACTTTGTAAGCTTTGTAATACTTTGTATCAGCACATTGATCATCATTATTGCAGGTGTTACACAGCAAATCTTGCAAAACACAAACTCCTAAATAGCACCAGCTTATCAGTTTACAACCAAAATGTTAGGTCACTTGGTAAACATTTTGATGATATAAATGCACTACTTACAGCACTAGGTACTAAATTATCTTTCATCATTTTAACAGAAACTTGGCTAAGTAATGACTATACCCAACTCTACAATTTAGCTGGTTATAAAGCCATTCATAACTGCAGGCCTAATAAAAAAGGTGGCGGTACAGCAATATATTACAGAGATACCTTCATTTGCAATAGTGTCATTAGTGATAGAGACGACTATTGTGAATATACCTTTGCCAAGTTCTCCAGTAAATCCCTTAAATCCTCCCTGATAATCGGTGCCATCTATAGATTTCCTAATACCAACATAGCTTTATTCTCTGACAATGTAAGGAATCTTATCATAAATAACAATCTCAACAAAAATCACATCATTCTGGGAGGTGATTTCAATATTGACCTGGGACTTCAAAACAACCCTCAAGTTGACTATTTCCGTAACAGCATGCACTCCTGTATGCTAATCCCCACAATCACCAAGCCCACCCGAGTCACTCAAACATCTGCCACTACCCTGGATCACCTATGGACTAATATAACAGCTCCCCTTACATCTGGGGTAATTTATGACAGAACAACTGACCACTATCCTACTTTCCTCATAGCAAACATTGACACATCACCACCAGAAACCAAAAAACTTTCATTCAGGCTACATAGTGAATCAGCTTTAGGCAATCTCTCTAATGCACTTCACAATATTAACTGGGAATCTGAATTTAATAATTCACAGGATATAAACTCATCAACTAACCTCTTTCTCTCCAAAACTCTAAGCCTCTACAACACTCACTGTCCCCTCCTTACCAAACAAGTAACTGATAAAAGAAAAAATAACCCGTGGCTCACAAGTGGCATAATTAAATCAATCGACAAAAAACATGAATACGAAAAGAAATTTAGGAGTGGCCTAGTTTCAATGGAAGTAGTTAAAAGGTACTCATCAGTGCTTACCAGTATCATAAGAAAAGCAAAACTTTCATATTATGAGACTAGATTCAAAGAAGCAAAAGGCAACATGAAAAGCACATGGAATACCATCTCTAACATCCTGGGAACTAAACAACACTCCCACAACCAGATAACACTCTCTAAGGATGGCCTTACACTGTCATCTGACTTAGAAATGGCGAATGAATTTAATAGCTTCTTTTCATCGATTGGTGCTAACCTTGCAAGTAAAATCCCACAGACTCAGACACATATCAACACATATCTCTCAAGCAGCTATCCAAACTCTCTTCTCCTCCTCTCACCAGTCAGCCCGTCAGATGTTGTGTCCATCATACACTCACTAAAAACCAAAGCTGGGAACATCAGTGAAATCCCATCTATTGTATACAGGAGTGCCTCCCATGGCCTTGCACCACCTATAGCTCTGCTGTTCAACAAATCCCTTGAGTGTCATACCTTCCCTGATATCCTTAAAAAAGAAAGAGTAACGCCAGTTCATAAAGGAGGTAATCCGTCAGATATAAACAACTACAGACCAATATCGAACCTACCCATACTATCAAAAATATTTGAAAAAATTATCTACAAACAGCTCTACTCCTATCTCGTAAAATTCGACATTCTTAGCCCCTGTCAGTTTGGCTTCCACTCTCAAAAGAGTACCAACGATGCAATTATTAGTCTCCTTGATATAATTTACTCAGCCCTTGACAAAAATGAGTTTCCAATTGGACTCTTCATTGACCTGAGAAAGGCCTTTGATACTGTTAATCACGATTACCTCTTATGTAAACTCCATCATTATGGAATCCGAGGCCATGCACTGGACTATATCCAATCCTATCTTAGTGATAGACACCAATGTGTAGCCATCAATAATATAATCTCTCCCATTCTACCAATAACCGTTGGAGTGCCACAGGGCAGCATCTTGGGACCCCTACTATTTCTTATATACATTAATGATCTGCCTAATGTCTCTAACATTCTGAAACCTATTTTGTTTGCTGATGATACTACCCTCATTTACTCCAACTCCAACCCACATACACTAAATGATGTTGTTAATAATGAACTAAAAAAAGTCCACTTATGGATGTCAACCAACAAACTAACACTTAACATAGAAAAGACCTACTACATCCTATTTGGAAGCAAATCTACAAGTGCAATTCAGCTTCAGATTGACAATGTAAACATTAGCAATAAAAATGATGGAAAGTTTCTTGGCATGAATGAATGAATGAATGTACGCAGAATGTACTATTGTACATCTAGTATAGAGAGAGAGCTGGGGCAGGGAGGTGCGTGCCCCAGGGAGATAATCCATGCCCATGCCCCGCCTCGAGGTCAGTTCTCGAGTCACACCAAGAATAACAATCGAGCAAGTTGTCCTGACCAGGATGTGGCATATTAGGGAGGGTTGAGGAATAGGAAGCCTGTCTGATAGGGCTCTTGGCAAGCAGCTCTCCCTCAGTCTACCTATCTATATGGAAGAAATGTATCTAGGCCCTCCTCTCCCCTGCCTATTCTCTCTCCCCCACCTTTCTTCCTTCATTTCCTCCCTCCTTCCCTCCCCCTCACTGGTGAGAGAGTAGGAGTGTGAGAGTGGTTAGAGAACTCGTAGTTCTCACGCTCGTGAAATTGTCTGCGACCCTGGAGGAGTAGAGCGGAGGGGGGGGGGGGTGAAAGTAGGTGACGATGGAGGAGTAGAGGGGAGCATTATATGCAGTGAACGTAGGTGTCTATGGAAGAGTACATCATAGAGGAGGGTGAAAGGAAGGTGACGATGGAGGAGGAGAAGGGAGGGGGTGTGAAGGTAGGTGATGATGGAGGAGTAGAGGGTAGGAGGGGGGCAAAGGTAGGTGTCTATGGAAGAGTACATCATTGAGGGGGGTGAAGGTAGGTGGCGATGGAGTAGAGCAAAAGGGGTGGGGGTTGAAAGTAATCCTGAGTTTAATTTTTTAGTTATATATAGTGACACCTCGGCTTACGAATGAATATTTATGAACTTTTCGGGTTACGAGCCTAATTTCTTCGAAAAATTTGAATCGGGTTACAAACTTTGCCTCGGGAAAAGAGTTTGTTGATATACGTATGGGCTGACCTAGCGCATGGTGGCATGGTGATCGCGCCTCAGTTTACCAGTGTCTCCTGCCTAGTAAGTATCGCGCCTGAATTCTTTGTAAAGCATTACATTTGTTTTGGGATTTTTGGCTATTTGAACATAAAAGTTGTTATGATATATCTTGCCATGAGTCCCAAGAAAGCCAGTGGTAAGGTTCAAGCCAAGAAAACACATGTGAGAATGACCATAGAGGAAAAACAAGAGAGCATTCATAAACATCAAAATGGTGCACAGGTTGTTGAACTAGCTAGGCAGTACAACAAATCTATGTCAACAATATGCACTATACTTGCTAAGAAAAAGGACATTATGAGCGTTAAAGTGGCAAAAGGCATATCAACAATCCCGAAACAAAGAACACAAACACTTGAGGATGTTAAAAAGTTTTTATTAATTTGGATACACAACAAAGAGTTAGCAGGTGATAGCATTTCAGAGGCCATCATTTGTGAGAAACCAAGGCATTTGCATGAAGACCTTTTAAAGAAAACCCCTGGAACGAGGGGGGGGAAAAGATGAATCAAGTTTGAAAATGTGAAAAGTTTGTGTGACAATAGAGCCTCGTGGAAAACTTTTGCTGTGGTCATTACCTGGTGGAATGCACCCAGGATGGAGTATTAGGGCTATACATCTTTTAAATCATAAAAGTAATAAACATTTCCCATCAACCTTACAAACAATATTAACCTATTTTCATGTATTTCCCCCATGTGCATTTTAACAAAGTTGCTAAATTGCCTTTATCATT